TTGTGTGCAGTTTGCCAAGAAGGAACACCCCTTTTTGGTTTGAACCTTGATGCTGTAGTCTGCAAAACATTACAACATGCTATTTTTACAAAGTGTTCAGTGCAAAGTAAAGGAAAAAAACAATAATAATAAAATGCCTCAATCTGTTAATTTGGCACTGTCAGGAACATAATACCCCCAAAAAGAATGAATTTCAGATCTGATGCTACAGTACTTTTTGGAATTGTTACAAAATGTCATGTACAATATATAACATTTATACTGACTCTTGATCTATGATACAATATAAAAATCTAATTTTTAAACACTTTTTAGACTTTCATACTGGTTTGCAGAATACAGCAAAAATAAAAAAATGAAATAGTCAAAAAGGGGAGGGTTCACGATAGTTCTTTTTTATTTTAGTAAAAAATGTTTGTGCTTTTTACACCATTGATCATCTTTATGGAGCAATGATTGGCAATTGTGGTGTAAGATTGTTGTTAAAACAGCAGAAAAGTTACTCTCAAGAAGTCCACTGTTAAGGCATCATAAGAGTTTTTTTTTCTGACAAATTTTAATAAAACATCAGTGATTAATTTACGGTTCCATTCCAAATTTAGACGTCTTAATTTTTGTTCCCTGTAAACACAGTTCAGCTATGTGGCAAAGTCATGGATGGCAGGTAAAAATGACTTTTTACATTCTACAAAAAAAATTTACAACCACAAATTGAATCATCCCTCTGTGGCTGCTTTACATGCACATTTTTCTACTAGTATTCATTACAGCCATGTGTCACAAACAATTTATTTGACTATACAACAAACAGTTTTTATTCAAAAATTATTTGTTTAGATAACTTAAAAATTAATATAAAAATAAACAATGAATTTGACTTTTCCTCAAAATAAAAAAATGGACGGAAAGTCTTGACAAAGTAACAAAATTTCTGAAATACAAATGAAATGTATGGACATCGCAATCTATTAATACAAAAGAAGCGAACGAAGGCAACAGTTCTTGGCTTAATGCTCTGTGCTGCATCACAATATCAGGCCATGACAAACAATACATACAAGATCAAATAAAATGATGGAAAGCAATATACAAAATTTCAAAGATAAATACAATATTTATAATTGATATGTTACAAAAAATTCCCTTAGTGACCGCAAGTGTTTATGTGAAAGAAAGTGTTGCGATGAATAAGACTATTTTACCCCTTATAATTTCCATAAGGAGTAAAATTCTGTACTAAATATTTAAGTGGATCTGAAAAAATTCAAGACAATTGTATAAATATTTAGCTACAACTTTGGCAAAATCACAAAAGTCTACAATTTTATAACCACATACAAAACACATCAGGGAATAAGGAGCTAGAAGTAAAAGGACAACTCTCTTGTACAAGAAACATAGACTTCACAGTAGCCTAAGAATGCAATAGTATACAATGCTAGCAAAAAGTTGAAAAACATTGCAGATCACACTTGCTTAACAGGAAGCTCTAGCAGTGGAAGTATATTTTTAACCAACAGACAGTAGCATTTTATCTCTGTCAGTGTGCTTGTTGAAGGCAAGAGAAGAATTTTTGCAATATCAAAGTTACAATTTCTAACTACAATAAGTTACAAAGTTCATTTTTTAAGATGAAGTAAGCATGATAAATTTTTCCCCAGCCCTTCCCCATCTCCCCCCATTTTATTTTTTTTGTTTGCTTTCTAAATCATATATTTTATACTCTTTCCAGTTTAATGGCTCATGCCTTCTTGGCCCCCTTTAGTCTTACCATGAACAAAAAAATATTCACATTATAGAGATACACAACAGTTGTGAATCTAAGAGAACTGAAAAATGTTCTGAGGCATTTTTCATCAGTGTTCCATGATCATTAAAATGGTGCATCCACAGAGTTTCTCCCAACACATAGCAAGAACTAGACATAGCCAAGATGTAACCAGAAACTTTATACAAAATAGGCGTTTTTTTTCTTCAAGACTGAGAAATGTGAAAATATGAGAAAAAATTCAGTCAATAAAATGGAATTGTTCATGAAGAAGTCCCTTGTATGTCAGTTCTCAATAATTTGAATAAAATCTTTGAAACAAAGTCTTTTTTTTCCTTCTGAATAACAGAATTAGTTGCTGATTTTATTCATGATTGATGACACTGATTCTACCAGCATCTTCTATATGTACTAAACTTGTCCCCTGAAGCCCATTTCATGAAGACTGGTGCTTGAGAAGATGAGGAAGTGCAATTTACATAGGAGGGACAACCAGCCCGGACATAGCTGAAAAAGAGAGGAGAAACATATTGGTGAGAGAGGCAACGTACACTTTTTCCATAACTATAACTAATGATTGCATTTCTAATGGATAAGAATGTTAATCATTTAATTTTTATTTGATTCATTTTAAAACAGATTTTCTTTTTTTTATTCAGTGCTGCTAGTGCTCTGTAAAAAATATACTGGGTGGGGGGATGAAGAAAGTGTGTATGTGTGAGGGCGGGGGGGGGGACTGAAATGTGCTTTTCTAACAAGACATTGTACAAAGACTTCACTTTTAAAAGAGGAGGATTCTGACATTTCCAGCGGAAAGCATCCTGCCTCCCACATGTGTGATATTTCTCTTAGCGTTTTGTTAATGGCAAACAGTGGCCCAGACTCCCCTGAGGCTGCCTATGCTGACAGCTGAGAAACAACATGGTCACTTCTGGTAACGTCAGATACGGCCAGTTCTCTCGCCAGTCAAGGACCAGACACTTCTCAGGTTCCCTAAATTGAAATCTTAGCAACCTCGGCTTCTTTCTTCTAGCATTTCTGACATGGTTAGAAGACCTCGATTTTCGCATTCCCTTAATTGTATTTTATCATAATATCCAAGATACCCATCTCGGGGGCTCGGGGAGATCAAAGGGATTTTCAAGACCATCTGCTTTGAAATCATTAGTAAAGGTGCCACCCAAAAACTTAAGATTGATATACTTGGTCATTTCACTCATTTTAACAATTAGATGCCTAGTGAACTGTTGGAATTAAAATTATTTCTATCCATTCCGTTTATTTGTAGAGTCATGGTTCAAGTGCTTTTAAGTTTGCAAGAGCATTTGATGGTGAGGCATTCCTCATTAATTTCTGTACACCAAATATTAATAAGTATATGCATGTAACAACATGAACTTTAATTTCCCAGTTCATTAATTCTAACATTATTAATCTTGGATACACATTATGACTAAAACTTGTTTTCACTGCAAACAAGTTGGCAGCTTGATGCAAAGAAAAAAAATTAAGAGACAAAATCATTATTTTTGTAAAAACCTGTTAAAAGTACTACAGTACTCTTGTAATTGAATTGTATAAGCATTGTTATAGTCCAGTTTTTTGACAAATTACAAACATTTTGAAATAGTTTTTCTTTGACCAAAGGTACATGTGATATAAATTTACTTTAGCTATTCAACACATTAAATCACTCATTTTAATGTTAAAAAATACACGCTTAACATATTTCATAAAATCTTTATGCTTTTGGCTTCTTAAGTGGCTCCATTTTCATACATCAAGTAGCTACACTGAAGTTATAAATTTTTAACAAGATACAACATTAATCCTAAATCAGGGAAACCTTGACATGTGTGCGTTTTAAGGGCTACCAGCAAAGTGATCTCTAAACCAGGGTACATTAAAATAACTACATTATCCCCAAGTACTTGTCTGGGAAACATGAGGTGTATTCACAGAAGACAGTAATGGAGTCTGGACATAGGGTCAGTGTAGTGAATATAAATATTAAGCTAGTTCAGAAGGCTACTAATATGCTGGTTTATTCATTTTAGTTTATTTGCCATTGAATTGAATAGTAGTGTCCAGATGCTTATAAATTACTAATATTTATGTAGGCAAGTGAATGAATTTGATATATTTTTTAAAACCTTAACAACTTAAAACATTCTTCATAGTCATATCATGTTTACATATTTTACAGTACGATAAATACACAATCACCATGACAAATCTCTAATCTTTTTTTCTTTTCTTTTTTTAATGTTAATCTTTTTTTCCAGGGCATAATCCTCTTCCATTGAATTATTCCTGCTTTCTTAGGACCCAGACTAATGTCAGTTAGTCTGACTGTCACAGTTGACAAGAGAGGAGAGTCACAAGAGTCTCTTAACCTCACTTAATCATTAATGATCAGATAAATAAATAAATACACACAAATGTACATGCACACATGCATGCATAACTACTATGCATTCATACATTCATGCATACATAATTAATTAATGTTCTAAGCCATACTCTATAACCACTATAGTGATGCATGGTAGCATTCAGTGTACTTCAAGCTCCCCAACAGGTGACAAGTCTGTGGGACACTAGAAAAGGAGGGAGTGCCGCTCACCTTGAAGTCCATTGCCATTTGCACTGGTGCAAGAAGGAGGTGGAGATGCTTGGGGCCTGACAACAGGGGCAAAGGCGCTCTTTTGTTTCACTGCAGAGATGACATTGGCAGGTGAGAATGAGAAAATGCCGTGTGTACTGCTACAGTTTGAAGGGAGGGTGACCGAAGAGGCTGCCATGGTAGGGCTTGACGGCACTACTGCAATAAAGCAAAAATAATCACGTCTCAGAGAGGATTGCACGGCACAACTGAGAGTAAAAAAATTGCTTTGGCCTTGCCTCTTTTCAAAAACAAAGCAAAAATGGAAAAAAAAAGTAAATTTTAAAATTGAACGGGGGTGGGGGGGGGGATGATTGGGTGGAGGATTTCAAAATTTTGCAGCAAAAAATAAAAAAACAATTGGGGTGGGTGGGAATGGGTTTAGATATGGAATGTCTTGCCTTGGCCACTGTCTGGATAATAGGCTTTGTGTTGGACTCTGTAAAACAGCAATGTCTTTTTTTGCCTTTGTTCTTATTTTGCTATTGGTTTTGGCAATGTGTAATGAATTGCTTCATATTTTGGCCGATTTGAAAATGTTCTGCATTATTGACTGCGGTCTTCAGCCTCCAGAGTCACCCCTCCTTTTATCCAGTAGCACACATCCAAAAATCAAAATAACAAAGAAATAACCAACAAAAACAAAGCCGCTATCAAATTCATGAAGGAATCAAAAGATGAAGAGAGCACGAAGTACCTTGATACTTACTGCCGTAGGGGGAATTGGCTGAGGACCCATTGAGGAATCCCGGAGAGCTGGGTACCCCCAGGTTGGGCATTCCCGTACTTCCATAGCCATTCATGCTGTTGCTTACTGTGTTGTAGTTGGACTGCTGAGGAGTGCTGCTGGGCACATAGCCACGCGGGGACACACTGCTCGTGTTGCGGCTATAACCCACTGTTGGAAGAAAGGAGTAAACTATACAGAGCTGTGCTTCACAACCTCACCAACGTGCGCCCTAAATGTTCTACAAGGAATTCCATACTCCTACAAAAGCATTTTCACTGTGTTCTTCATTCTGAAGCATCTTTCCCCTCTGATTTTATTTTTGTCTTTTCATTTGTTATTGCACGCCATTCACAAATGCTGAATGCCCTCTGAAGCTGCCAATGTTCCTCAGCAGCACTCATGAGCAGTGCCAGTTTCCGAGTTTTATCAGTGAGCCACAGTAGGTGAATATGAATCTGCTAAGACATGCAGGTTCCAGATCTGATAAGAAATAGTTCTGTTTTATAACGGTTTATACTACAATTGATCTAAAGGCTATGACATATATCTAACTTTTGTGTTAGAAACATTCTTAACATTTTCTTGTGAAAATTAGTTAAATTAAATTTAAATTTAGTAGTATCAAGAAAAATGTTTTTTTCTTTCAAGAACTTGTACTTATTCATTCCAACAATGCAATAATAAACATTTTTCTCAATACAGATATATTTTGTTGACAGTAAAAATACAATTAATCTTCTTTAACAGGTACTCAAATTCAATTCGCCATGTTGTCAAAAGGTAAAATATTTTTGACTGTAATTGTAACATACAGTATGTTAAACAGGGCATTTTTGCAGCTGTAAATGATGACATGATGAACAATTAGATATTTGTCTAAGGTGTACATTAATGTACATTTAAGCAGCCAAGACAGCAAAGACCTTTAAAGGATGTTTTTAGAAAACAAATAAATGTTAAATAGTATTCTAGCATTGAGCAATATTTTTTTTACTGCAGTATTCCAAAAAAATGCAGTTATTTTGGCATTTAAAGGCCAATTTCAAACAAGCTGCCAGGGAACTTCAAGTCACTAAGAGCTTTTTCTGTGTGTTTAAATGATGAGGGAAAAATATTTTCCACTTTGCCCTGACCTTAGCTGCAGCAACAAAGAACAGATGTAAAACTATTATCAGCGCTGGTGTTAAGTGAATACCAGGAACGGTCATTCGCTGCCAAGTAAACAGGGGAGTCTGTGACACTGTCAGCCAACCTCCTGGGAGATTAATTAGAGACGGGGAAAGAAGATATAGCTGCAGCCTACAAAGTGAGCACTGGCCAGGTAATATTGAAGGGTAAGGTACTGTAGATTAGTTGTTGTAGAAAGGCTTATCTTTACTCATAGTAACATACCTTGGTCATTAGCCTGTGATGTCTCTGATACGTTGACTGCTAGCTGGCTGCTGAAAGAATTCACTCCCATCATGCCACTGTGTGATGGAGTATTGGCAAGGGATGGAATCTGGTTGTGATTGCGAGGTACACTGTACAGAGCTTCTGCAATATCAGCTGCCCGCTTTAAAATAATCTCCTGTAAGAAATTGACAATGGTTACATTTGGGTAATAGATTTTAAGGCTCTTAAGGACAATTTTAGCATAAAGACAGTGGTAAAAAGGTTGGAGGGTGAAGAGGATGTTAAAATATTGTATGTATACATGTATTCAGTATAATATTTGAATAGTTTATTTTTCTTTCCATTTTATACTTTAACTTCTAATTTTGCATTTAAAGATTAGCACAGACTATTTTTAGTTGCTTCAGAAAAGGAAGTCTGATCATTGAGCTTGTGTTTATAATGAAGCCTTCTGGGAAGGGAAACAGACTTGGGGGAAAGAGCAAACTTTTCATTTTTAATTCAGGCAATGTACACTTTAAATAACAAATGTATGGTATTTATTTTGGCATGCATCTGTCAAAAAGTTTTAAATGGTATTTATTGTTCAATTGATTAAGGCAGAATAATTTGATGTCTGTCACTTGTTGATGTAACTTAGATACAAATGCAATATATATATATATGCCTACAAAAACATTAATTCTATTGTATATAATATTTGATTACTTGTTACATATATAAAACATATAAGATGTGTAAATTATCAAACTTAATACTTGATGTGAAAATGTTCTGTTTTTGAGTAGTGCTACTCGGTAGATTTATTAGGGTATTTGCATTAGTTACAGAATGTTTTGTACCAGTTCAAGGTAATTAGTTCTCTTGTTTCAATGGGTGTGTGCTCTCTCAGTGATTAACTGTTTACAAACAGGTAAAGTGGCCATGAACCAAAAAAACTAA